GTAGTGGGACTGGCCGAGCTCTACGTCCTGGTCCGGACCATGGAAGGGAAACTAGGGGAACCATAGCACCTGCACACAACAATCTCATTGTCAGAATAATTACTTTTCATTTATTTATTTGTGCTTCTGTTCTAAAAGTACTTTAATTATTTTTTTCTATTACTTAAATACAGTTGTTTATTTGCTCCTAATTAATGTGTCCTGTTTTGTCTTACATTTTAGTTCTGCTTTGTGAAACAAAAATCTGTTAATTCATCCTTTTGCCCTTAACCCTAACCTCATCTTTTATTGCTGTTTTACAGAACTAACAAATCTTGGGACAAGATGCATTCATTGTTTGCTCAATTTGTTTTGTTTTATGCTTTTCAGGTTCAGGTTTATATGAGTCCCAAATGGGCAATTAATGATATAGCAAGTGCCTGCTACATATAAATACAAGGACATAAATACTAAGACAAACAATCAAAGTTAAAAAAGATTTAAAATAGAGTTAAAAACAAGGTGCAGGTTAAGTGTTTTCCTCCTTGCCTTTAAAGTTTCTGTGACATGCTTATCCTTCAGATACAAAAAGTCAAAGAAAACTATTTTACCCATTTGGACACTTTACTGATCTATTTTCTTTTGACCTTGGGTTGGCAAAAGGGAAGCAGGAAGTGACATCAAAGGGGAACTCCTTTAAGAAAAATAACCCACTGGTCTTTGTTCACTGAAACATTATGATTTGAACTCTGACTTTTTGTTTGTTTGTTTGTTTGTTTCAGTCTGATAGCGACTCAAAATAATCTAAAACATCAGATTCCTCTCCACAGTCTGTTGCTGTTAAACATTTTAGCTTAGCTCTGTTTTCATGCAGACAGTCCCCTGTGACATCACTTCCTGTTACTTCACATGCAAATATCTCAACAGCTGTTCATCTCAGCAGCATGAAAACTAGTTTGTAAAATGTTCTCAGTGTTTTCTTTCCAAAAATGCATTTGTATTATTAAAAAAAGTTTGATGTCACAGGCACTTTAAACTTTAGGCTAAACTGAGGCAGCACAAGCATGCACAGGAGATCTGCACATGGATCCTGCTCCTCCTCTCTACGCCTCTTCTGGTTCTGCGCTGCTGGGTTCATTTCTGAACACGTACATGTGAGCAGAGCCTGGCTGGCTTCTCCTGTGACTTTATGAATGAGCTGCTAATGTCTTATAACCTGACTCACCTGATGGGAGTTTCAAGCACAGAACTCTGCGTGTCTGCAGCTACAGAACAGACGTCCAGCTGCTTCGTCCTTGTTCTTTTCATGTCACATGTCCTGGATGACTGAAAATGTACAGCAACAGAAGAGGCTAAATTAGCGCTGGACCATGAGAATACTAAAGTGCTGGAATCAATATTATGGATCCAGCAGCTTTTGTTCATTTTTGCTCGCAGACAAGCTGCTAAATTGACAGAAAAATACAAGAAACAAAACAAACACTGAAAAATCTGCATACAGTATTATGTTTAAGGGAGATCTTTAAAACAAAACTACAACAAACACATCTTGTGGTGTATGCGATTCAATGGGCCTCATGCAAGAACCGTTCGTACGCACAGATTTGTTCTTAAGTTGTGCGTACGAGTGATTTAGGAGAACTAATGGCATTCACCAAGTTTCTCGTAAGATTATTTTCAGATACAAACAAAATTCACGACTGGTCCAGACCTGTCATATTTTATCTGCAGTCAGTCTGCTGTTATCCAGATGGGTTTTCTCCACTAATAACTTTATATTT